GCCAATGCCTGTCTCACCTCTTCCATCGACATTGGTTGTCAGTCTAAGCCTACGGTTCACGGCATACTCGACCCCGCTGAAATGTAAGCTCAAGACGAACGGATACCTGCAGACCTCGAGATTGAGGAAAGCTGGACACATTTTTGTACTGTCTCCTACATGCCTTAGATGATATTGTTTCCCAAAATCGATTTTCAGTAAAATCTCGCAGTCCAGACGATACTAGTTTATGAAGCGATGACACAAGACTCCTGTCGGAAAATACAGGTGTTGTTTATATCACAAGCTTTCTATAGCAGTAATAACGATTGGTGATCAAGATGTATCTTGATTCTACATTCTTCTGGGGGACTTTTTACAACATCTGTCTGTGGTGTCCCCCACAAATCTCTGGCTCTCACTGAAGAGTCTACAGAGCTGAGATTGAGTAACACCGTCCTCAATTCTTTGGTGATGATTCCTAATCGCTTTCGCGGTCTGTATCGTCTTCATCTCCCAACACATCCCCCTATCACCATTATCATGAAGCTAACCACGATAAGATCAGATGGTAGGGTCGGAGGCCTACTCATCATCAAACCTTGATCATGGAGGAGAAGCCATCCGATGAGTTTCCGTAGCGTACCCAGCACCCGATACGGCGATGGTGGATTGGATCAAGCCGGCCTCCAATGATACAAAGAAAGGACATGTAGATGGATATGCGCACCTCGTGTGAATTCATAGTCTAGGCCTCTGTTTCTTTCTTTCTGAGTAGAATGTTGCTTAGAAAAGGCGGCTCAATTCTGTGGGTCAAGACTGAGCTGAATAGTTATTCATCAAGAGCAATATATCAATGATCTTTCAAGAAACATAAGAGGTAAGGAGCATTGTATAAGGTGTGCCCTTGACCAGAGAGGAGCTCAATGTGCTACATAGTCTATGACTGAATTAATACAACAAACATGTATCTCTCTTCATTTTTCTCTACTTCTAAATAAAAGAAACACGCACACACAGTAGCTATCTCCCTCTCCCAACGCTATTCCCAAACAGATAACTCACTACTCATCAACATACTTAGTCATCATTTATAAGATAACTCATGAACGTTCATTGAGTAGGTAGGACATTGAACAGTATCTTATCAAACCAATTCTACTTCTTTAGCTGGGCGAGATTTAGACCAAAGCTTCGCCACTTCCGCAGCTCCTAGCTTGTACATTCATTTTTCAATATATAAATTCAGTCTTCAATTCACGCCTTCAACAATGTGGAAACCCACACTTAGACGCTATTAGGGCGCATAAAGTTGGTAGGTCAGAAATTTTCGAAGCGTGAGGAAGTGTAGACGAGATTATGAGAAGGATTGATGAGGCCTTGAAGAAGGTTAGGATTTGATTTTGGGAGAGCACTTTGGAATCTGAAAAATGGTACTCGCCATGCCTTCTTTTACAAGAGCTTAGGCAATACTATACGAATAATTAGACGGCACGTGGATGCTGTCGTGGTATCGTTTCAGTGAGAGATTCAAGGAGAGTATAGATGGCTTTTAAATCTCTCCTATTTGGGACGGTTTATTACTGGTTCGAGCCCAGCAAGACCCGACTGCATTTCTCGCCGTGCTCATATATCCAATGACGAAGGCGTCATCGGACTATATAAGGTTCTGAAACTTGCCTTTGGTGGATTCCCGCGGATGAGCGTTGAACGTTAGATGTAAATAAACAGACCTCGCAGTGGTATATGCGGATGGAACTAGAAAGAACCATTTTCCACGCCCAAATGGTCATTTAAACTATAGAATCAAGCTGTCTCCCATTAATTAGAACGTTTAGTGTTGATTAACGAATTTTGCGGCTAAGTTACGACTCATGTACAAGCTGGATAATAAACGCGTCAGCCGATATTCATCAAGCAGTATAATCAGTGAGCGGTAAAGGTAATGTCCTGAGTGAATAAGCTGTCATACTTCCATGATCGAAATTGTCGGCAGAGTATTACTCAGATACATGAGAAATGAGAGATCATTAGAATAGAATCGGTAAGTGCACCACGATCTGGTGAATTGGAACTTTTGTGAGACTCAACTTTCACCTTCAGCGGTCGGAATAACTCTCATTATGTGTGGAAAAATATTTGACAAATCCAAAATCAAACCTTATCAAGTGTAGCCATAGTTACATATTTAATCACTAAAAGTCCTTCGCAGTCTTACTCTCGGAAGGGGTGAAAATAATACTCTTATCAAATCACCAGTGTGTGCATAAATTTAACCCTGATTCATCTGCATCTGACATTTACTGCGCGATATCTCTTACTGAATTTTGCTGAAGACGAGGTGAATTATAAAGAAACCTCTTTTTCATCATAGTATAATAAAAGCTTCTCACTTTCTTGTCTATACTCTCCATTCGTACCCTGATTCATGCGAGAGATGATTGGACCATGAAACAAAGCCAGAGGATCATCTAGGTTTCTTTTGAAACTTGTTCTATAGTATTTTAGCCGCGAATTGTGGTTTTCAACGGTAAATAAATGCAGAAAAAGTCAAAGTAAATCTCTCGGCCCAGAGCAAGCTGTAACGAATCGTGATTTCCACTAAGCAACCCGATAAGTTGGTATAATAAAATTAAATTTCGTTGAGTCGTATAAAAAAATTACAAGTTAACTAGGATCAAGGGATTAGAGCAGCTTCTCAGTGTAATAGACCAAATGCGTGATAAGCTGTCCTAGCAAAAAGGCCAACGATGAGCCGATAAATCTGTGCAATGGACCTCTGCACTGATGGTATTAAGGGCATTAGTAAACGAATCACGGGTAGGAAAGAACGGTTCGGACATGGATTTCTTCAAGATTTGTGCCTTTTGTATGACACTACTTTTTACTACGTAGCAAACTCGTCCTTATCGGGCCGCCAGGTTGTACGGCATTGTGCTCGCTCTTAGTTTACATGTAGGCGATGTGAAATTAAGCGGTATCACCACAGACAATCTTGAAGCTACATCGTCTTAGAGCGGTAACCGGCATTTTTGTTCAGCGTAGAGGTGCCTCTTAGATAAACGTGCTAATCAAGAAATAGAAGCCATTCATCCATATTAAGTGGTACCAGATCAGACGATTGTGCTGCAACCTACTTCTCAATGTCGGACGATCATTTCCTGGACATTCATCGCAGTCCGGTTTCTCCGTTGAGCCGGCATGGTAAGCCTAGATCAGAGCTTTAAACACGATGGGCGGTTTTGGATGAAACATGAAACTTACTGTAAAGTACTGTAAAATCCAGGTTCGACATCACCTAAGCTCAACAATACCGAGCAATTACAGGCACCGGTCCATTTATTATAGGCTACTCTCGCTGCGATGAAGATCCTAGCGATAAATTTTAGGGAATTCTCCCTAAATTTTTTCTATATTCTTGCCATAATTTCGATGAGCGTATCAGCGATTCCAATCACCATTTCATCGTTTTCAATACCCTTGATAGGAGATAATGTAGGCCTCAATAAGCGTGGAATCGTTTCGCCGACCAAAGACCAGCTTCTTCTCAATTCCATAGGGTTTGCGACGATCCCTATTTTTTCCCTAGCCTTACGAAGGTAATGGGCTCATACTATCAATATTGCTATGGAAAATAAATTCTGACTCTTAATAACGACAGTATTAACAAGATATTCGTTATCAAAACGGTCCACATTGAGGACTTCTGTATGCTAGCAGCAATGGTAAACTATGGCTGTCAAGGAGATATTTCTTTCCTGTCGATTACTAATTTGTACCTGCAGAGCTTCTACATTGCCCTCCTAGTCCTTATTAACGTTTCGGCACGATATGCAACCAACTTGTATCCCGCTGAGGAAGCAGCGACGATCTTTGCTGATCCGACGGAAGTAGCAGACCGCATTCTTGGCTCCAAAATTGTCGTAGGACTAGAACAGTCAATGATGGCAGTTACGTGGCTGGTTAAGCTTTGTATTTGGTTCTTCCTTAAACGAGTTTGGTTCGAGATTTGAGGAATAATCTTGAGCAGGTCTGACTTGATTTTAGTGCTAACGTGAGGAATTATGAGATTGCGCTGCATGCCTTACTTTTATATATTGTGCTTGGATTCTTCATTGTCGAAATCTTATATTATGCTATCCTTTGTCAGCCTTTTTCACAATACTGGGCTATGCCGGTCGATAATCCTGAGTGCACCACCTACCATAATTACTCAGTCATCCAGATGATATTTAATATCTCTTCCGACCTATTTTTGTTCTTTCTACCAAGTTGGGTTGTTCTACGAAGTAAAATGTCACCTCGACAAAGATTCATTTGCCTCGTACCTTTTAGTCTAGCTCTCATCACGATTATCTTCGCAATCTTGAATAAGTCAGCATTTTACTTATTTTCTGCTAAAAAAGTCGGTTCTAATATTAATAGGTATTATAACTTTGCCTCCCCGACAACCACTACATATCAGTTGTGGTATATACGCGAGAGCTCGATGGCCATAGGTGTTGCGAACCTTATTTGCAGTTGGCAGCTTTTCAAAAAAGTCTTTAACCTTGCATCTTTACCCAATTTTAAGGCGGGGCAAAATGCGGCAGTCTCTCCTGTTCCAACAAATTCTCCATTAGTTGCGGTAGGTGAGCGAGGTGAACATTATAGCACCGACACTGAACTAGGATAGAGATTAGAGCTTGAGAAGGTTCTGACTCAAAATCTTCGCCAGGCCGTGGAATAGCTTATACCAGCTCGATCGAAATTGATAACAATGTGAGTGGGCTTATAATACACAAATTTGTTATTCTCTTGCAGATTTCAGGGGGGATATCGATTTAGGCGTCATTTGTTGTTGTTTATCAGATACCCAAATCAAGAGTGCTGCTTACTGCGTCTTAACCTAATTTACCACAAGGGGTGTTCAAAATATTTCCTATTCAAGATAATGAAGAGTGAATTCTTCAGGTTTCGTAGCTCTTAGTATCGTTGTAGTTTCTTGAGAAACATAGGAGGTCAAGTCGAACAAATAACATTCATGTAACAGCGAACTTCCGTGCTGCCCATCCAGCCCCATACTCATCGTATTCTTCTTTTGTAACACTCAACTCTCGGATTTTAGTTTCCTGCTTTGCCAAATTTATGCCACCCAGCCATGTGCTGATAATTGGATTGGGAGGTCGCGTTACCCTCACTTTGCATTCAATTGGAGCGAGTGCTCGGATTTCCGCTTGCAATCTATCGATAAATCCTACCATATTTGAACTCCCCCCAACGCATATGATATTGGCTAGAAACCCTGGCCAGAGGGCCATAGGTAGCGATGATAGGCTATCCATAACTTGCTGAGCAATTCCTGATTGCTGTATGCCGATATCGGTTGGATTGAAAAGAATCTCGGGAACTATGAATCGCTCATTACGAAGAGTGATTATGTCTTCGGTGGCTCCTCTTGATCTTCCCGTAATCATTTCCTTTAGCTTGGTAGCAGTGGTCGGATCATGAGACCTTGCAAAGCCTTCTATTCGTGTGTGGTAGTCGGGAAGGATATAATCCATCGCTATTCCATCACCCAACTCGTACACAGCTCGTCGATCACCCTTTGGGCCTTTCCATGTCTTCTCCATATCGGTTTGAAAGTCTTTAGCAACATAGCATGTTGCTTCTTTGATTGCGTTTACGACATAGGTCTCACCAGTCATGTCATAATTACGGATAGAGAGTAAGCGTGATAAGTGGTTTGTTAGGAGTTTTCCACCGACATCTAAGCGCCGAATTGAAGCTTGTAGAGGTCGACCATTAAGCAGAGGAGTAATTGTAGTATGCGAATAACCAGAATCAATTAACATTAATATCTCGGCAGGTGTGTTTGTACAATCGACTGGCTTGTGAGGGGGTTCTTCAAATAGTTTCTGTATATCGTTGTAGGCATTCAGTTGTGGACCTGTTTGATGAGATCAGCTTGTAAGATCCCCACCGTTCCCTTGGCTTTGGAAACATACCAAGACATCTCAGATATCTGATGAACCCAAATTCCTCGAATACCATCTGGTCGCAATTGGTCTGAAGCACAGGTAATGTATTGGGGGCTTCAGTGAGAATCAACCCAATATCATTGGGGTTGCAATAAAGCTTTGCCTTGGGATGGAAAAATTCATTCTCCCAAATCTCTTTCGCTGCTTCCCAGTCAACTTGATAGCCTCTCTCCACTGGGCGTCGATAAACTAGTTCGGAATAGTCGCGACAGTTTGATAGTTGTGAGCCTACGTACAAGTTCTTCTCTCTATCCCGCGCAATGCAATTTGGTATTAGGCTTGGATTAAGTTCGCTATCAGGAGCTGCGAACCCGGCTTTTAAGGAGTACGCGCCGTTATCAATGATGAGTGTCTTCATGAGGCTATTGATCAAGAACCAAGCTGTGTCTGGAGAATTTTAAACCTGTGCTAGAGTGTCCGCAAAGATTCAGATAAGACAACGAATTCGATAAGAAAAATTCAACTCCCAAGACGCCAAGTCTTAGAATTCTGCATTGGATCGTTGACGTTAGACACCTGTATATCTACACCCATAACTAGCATTACATTGACATTGCTCTCGTCCCGAATATTCTACTCAGTTACTGATTTGGTGCAGTCTTCTGCGCTGTTAAATAAGATTTTACGTCTCTTATCGGATAAGTGTAAGCACAGGGGGACTATTCTCAACACCTGTCAGAGGTGTCCTATACGAGCCTCCAGCTCTCACTGTAGAGTCTGCAGAGCTGAGATTGAGTAACAATGTCCTCACTTCGACGAGGATTCCCAATCGCTTTCGCCGTCTGTCTTGTCTTCATCTCTCAATACATTCCCCTATCACCACTATCATGAAGCTAACCACGATAAGATCAGATGGTAGGGTCGGAGGCCTACTCATCACCAACCCTTGATCATGGAGGAAAAGCCATCCGATGAGTTTCCGTAGCGTACCCAGCACCCGATACGGCGATGGTGGATTGGATCAAGCCGGCCTCCAATGATACAAAGAAAGGACATGTAGATGGATATGCGCACCTCGTGTGAATTCATAGTCTAGGCCTCTTTTTTTTTTGCATCGTATCTAGGCCTCGCCTGGCTGGGGCTGCACGTTTTTTGAGACTTTTTCCCGAGCACGCAATTTCCATTGCTACTATTTTTTTTGGTAGAAGATTCCGTGGAAGAGGTGGCTGAATTACACGGGTAAACACTACGCTGAATAGCTATTCATCAAGGGGAATATATCAATTATCTTTCAAGTAACGGAAGGGGATAGGAGCACTGTACAAGGAGTGGTCTGGGTCAGAGAGAAGCCCAATGTGCTAGATAGTCATACACTCAAGTAGTACAATCAAAACACACACACACACGAAATGTAAGCACGACAACCAGCTGACGTGCTAGACGCATGTGTTACTTTTGACTCATTTACTGTGTATGTAGCTTTGTAGGCACGATTATGATCAGTGCGACGTGTAAGTATTTCATAAACACTTGAGCAACAAAAACACTCTTGCTCTGGAGGGAATCGGCAAATGTAGTCACGGTATACTCGTGTTAACGAAATTGTGGACCAGAGTGCAGGCGACACTATAAAAACTGCCATGGTTGGATGATGCGGTGGTACATCATCTTGGCCGGTCTGCCAAGTAGAGTCTGGATAGCTTGGACACATATCCCACTTGAGACATTAGATCGCTGGTTCGAATCCGGCAAAATACAACCACATTTCTCGCGGCGCTGGTATGCATGGATGACGAAGGCATGCTTGGATAATCAAAGGTTTTTAAATTCCCTTTGGTGGGTACTAACGGAGGAGGGTCGACTGTTTGTGTAAGCAAACATACCTCATAGTGGTATTTGCAAATGAAATCCAGAGTATGAGTGTCTCTAACGCCAAAAGAGTCATCCAATATGTATACATAGCGCCGGTCATGTGTCATAGCTAGATAGCTGAATACACATTAAATGATTAAAAAAAAAAAAAAATTGTGGACCCTTCCCCGTGAATACTCACCAGGTAAGAAATCTATGACAATTTGTTTTACAGTCCGACCAAGGTGGTTAAGTAGCTATGTCGTACTTGAAAGACCAATATTAATGAGATACCACCAGGTTATCCAGCCATAACTGTGTTCGTGATGTGAGTTGGAGCTTTGCAGAACAGATCGTGCCGCGAACAGCTCTTATCCGGGTTGAAAGCCTCTTTCCACCCCTATCGAATCCATAATCATCCTCAACACATTATTCTCGTGCGTCTTGCTATCTTTGAGTAGATGCATTTCAGAGCTTATTCAGCTCTACTTACACAGTAATGCGACACATGAGGAGTAAGGATCAAGGATTTGAGTCTGGGATTATTGCAGACATTGTAGATGATCTAAGCGCGAATATACATAGTGAGGGCGCTCTCCCTATCAGTATATGAGTAGAGAACCCTGGTGATCTAGTCATAACACGAGATTGGGCAAACAACGTTTACATTGCCTATGAAAATTTTCCTATCAATCTATCCACACTGAGTAGTGGGATGCACTCTAAGTTCTGCGAGATTCCAGAGTTTCGTGGTCGTATATCTGGAGGCTAGCTAAGGTTAGAGAATAAAACGACAAGAAGTGTTGTCATTTATAGAAATGATATATTATATCGTGCTACTTATATCAATGGGGGCTTGGTTGGAAATGGTCTTTATGGGAGAGAAGGATCGAATATATCTTTATAATCAATTAACCCCAGGTAGGCACACAGGATAACCCTGGCCTCTAATTCCTCAAGAGAACGTTTGGCGTGAATCGTAGCATAGCTGGTACTGGGCTATATTGTATACAAAATAGAAGTCATGTGTAAAGGGTTTAAAGAATTCAGAAGTACTTGAAAGACGTTAACTCAATAGGAATTGATAATTTTTCCTTAGGAAGCTAATCTGCCTACGACGGCTCCTGTCCTACATGTCCTCCTCAGCGTCGCGTTTAAGCTCCCCTCCTAGTCTACCTGAGAATACTCCATTCTCCCCGACTACCCTCTTTCCTGTGACATCCTCCCCCCCTTAGTACGTACTCCCTTGGGTCTTTCCTCATGCGCAACCTTGCAATTATCCTTATGCAACACTGAGACTCGTTCTTGTGCGCAACCTTGCATTAATCCTTATGCGACACTTAGATCCCTCTTTGTGCGTATCCTTGCATTCTTCCCCATGCAACCTTTCGCGTCTCTGTAAGCGCTGCTTCGTTGGCGCTTAAAGATCTAGCCGGGTTGGTCCTAGTGACCAGTCCCAATCCGGGCACAGCCCGTAACATCATGGGACAAATTGTAATTAAGACGCGCAAATAAAACAAAAGTCCGCACTCCTCTTGAAGACTTGAACGAGGACTGCTGTAAAGGTCTCCTCAGAGTGCAGCTGACACTATAAAAACAAGCAAACGATGAAAGGTGTTGTGGTCCGCCTCCTGGTGGTGTTCTCTGGTGTAGTCTGAGTAGCCTGGGCACCTACTCCACTTGGGAAAGAGTCACCTCAGATCACATATCGCGCGGAGAAAAGTTGATGGATGACGGAGGCATATCTGGATAACTCGGGGTTTTCGAGACGTTCCCCTGGGTGGGTATTCACGGATGAGGGTTGACTTGGGGTGAAGAAAAAGCCACCATAACTTCGTAGTGGTACTTGCAAATGAAATCCAAGGCATGAGTGCTTTTCCTCTACGTTGAATCATCTATTCTGTACTTTTCTTTGATATTGTGTCATAGCTAGATAGCTGCATACGCAATTAAAATCTGATGCAAAAAAAAAGGTCTAATCGACTAGCTCGACGCTAGTGTCAAATCAAACACCAGTCCTCTCTATTCCTGTAAAATTATGTTACTATGACAACAAGACCCCATCACTGCTTAGGCATGCTTTCATGCTTCTATGGAGAGTCATGATAAGAACCGTGACAACAACCTAGTAAGACAAATTGTCCTGTATCGCAAAAGTTGGCCAAGACTAGGCTTGAGTGAGTATTCTGACCCTAAAATATTATTGGACATTGTTAATAGGTACTCAACATCCACAGTTGCAAGCTTCCTGCGGATTGCCGAATGTAGACGACCACGTAGATCAGCTGCTGCCGAAAATTTTGGCCCACTAATTTCTGAGAACCACAAAAATCTGGCAATGTGTTGGAGCCATGTAACCAAAGCCAAACAGAAAGTACCAGCGGCCCGGGATATAGATACGAGTATCTCTTACGTCGATAGTCAATAGGAGGAGCTTCCAAAAGGCTTATAGGCGTTGAATAAATACACATATATGCAGACAAATAGTTCACCCAAGTCCCAGGACTAGAATCCTGCGAAAGAACATACCGAAGTCTCATGTCTTTTGGATAATTCTCGATGACTGAAAATAAATGACTTGGGGCGTATGCGTCCTGACGTGTTCAGAGGAAGATCGCAAAGGTGCGGACATTGTGATATTGAAATGACCGCAGTCAAGCTGGAACTAAGGCGTAGATGAAAGCATTTTCTGTCCTGTAGTCTGGGAAATATGTCTACCAAAGAGGAACATCTCGTACGCGTTACTGCCTCTTTGTTGGACCGTTTAATTCTCATCAAGCGGTCCCCAATGCTGAAATGCACCTTTTCAAACTCCACTACCTACGCCCGACTAGACTCGCCAACTATGCCCATTTAGCGCCTTCAAAGTCGGTCTTCTCCTTTATCCACTCAGAAGGGCATGTGCAGCCGCTGATTTTCGGCAATGTACCACGTGGCCCAGGGACATCTTCCCGCTCCCGACCCAAAGTGGCGCAATCCATGTTTGAAACAAAACAGGTGCGCAACAAAATATCCCTGGCCCACTAGGACATCTATCCACTGCATAGACACAACCCGATGGATTACAGGAGCTAGAGGCTATCTGTATCGCGTCTGCGAGACGATTTCCGAGTAACCAACAAGGCTGTCTGGTCTCCTCCGTCCATTGAGAGATTTTTTGCGAGGGTTCTGTCTTGGTACTTGGTTACACTGATTCTGACCAATCATATGCTTTCCAGTCAGTTGATGTCAGCTCCTTTATGGTTAGGAGTTCATTAGTGATCTAGTAGACAAGAGACTAACCCTGGTGAAGTTATCGTAGCGACAATAAGATTTTTCTCTCCTTTAGTTTAGACACTGTCGCCTAAAGCTTTAGTACCACGGCGATTAATAGGTAGCCCAGATCGCGTTGACTAGTCGTGAGTGCATTTAGAGCTGTAGTTCCTGCGTATATTTTGACTGCGTGTACCTCAGTTCTAGCTACGTGAGATTCCATATCGCACCACCAACGCAGGTGGCTAATATGCATAATATTAGGGTCTTGTTTACTCCACAATCACCACCCTAGCTGCCTAACTAGCCTGTTGA